AACTTTATAATTATACATATATAATTATTTTATAATAATATTGACAATGTAAAGATTTTTCAAGATAATATTCTGCGACACTTTTACATTTAATTCACTTTAATCCGTCTACTTCATTTTGACATTATAAACTTTTTAACATTCTAGTGTTCTTGTACATAAAAACGTTTATTTTTTGGTCTTTTCTTCTTTTCTCTAACAATAAGATCTTTTTCCCGTAATTAATCTAATCTAATTAATCCGAATAGAAAATATAATAGACGGAGATAAATAAGTTTAACGCGTGAAAATGTTTATGAAGGCATTCTCATATAAAAGATATGCTATTAAATGTAATAAATGTATTTATATATATTTAATTTAAAATTAAACTTTAAAAAAAATATTTTCTCATATATATGCTCTCTCCTCTAATATTACATTTTTTATCAAGACGAAGTTTCTCTCGATCCCTTTTCAGGTAGAAACGATAGGGGATGCTTATATGGTAGTATCGGGATTACCAGTGAGAAACGGCATGAATCACGCCAGAGAGATTGCGAGGATGAGTTTAGCTCTCAGGGATACGGTAATGACGTTCAGTATTCGCCACAGGCCAAACGAGCAATTGAAGCTTCGCATTGGCATGCATTCTGGTGAGTCAACACTTTATCACATACGTGTCTCTCCGCTCACGCAAAGCGGAAGAAGATTAGTCTTAACATGATCCTAGGCTCCGTGCCAATATTGGATCTTCATATGATTTGTGTACGACTTAAAGTGTGTTCCAGAATTCTTAACTTTAATTCTGGCGACAGATCAAAAGTTTTGCAACATCTTGTATTATCATTTCGTTCGAACTGTCTTCGAGGACCAAATTTCTTTTCTATTTTATTATTGCTTCATGGATTCTCTAGTTCTCCGTGTTATATATCGGGAATATTTTTGATATATTTTAAAGAACGGCGTTATAAAGCGAGCGTTTTCACTTTTTATTATTACAAATTGATTTTTGCATGTATCGAAGATTGGAGCGCGAGCTACAGATTGATATCATGCAAGTAACATGAATTAAATAAAAAACGCGGTGCGATATTTTGAAATAAATTTCAACAGAAATATTTTTTCGAATTTATTTTCATTGAAAACAATGTTTGATGTGATTGAAACAATATGAAAATAGATTTGTTAAAAAGTTGACAGCTATATCCGCCGCTACGAAAGAATGAAGGATTATGTTTCCCGATAAACATCATTGCGTTTTGCAAATTCTATTTTTATTAATTTTTGAATTCACGGCATGACTCTTGAGAATTCACCCTTGGAACATTACGTGACGAAAATCTCTATTTCTCAGACACTCTCTAAACTTTTCTCTAAAATTTTTCTCGATGAGATCGCATTTCGTGCGAATGTCACCTCGTTTTCGAAACATCTTTCTAGATCGTGTGAAACTTAGATTACCCTGTTTTCGCGAGAAAAAGCGATTCTGTATGATTTAGCTCATTGTCAGACGGTTAGCTATAATCGGCGAAGTTAATTACTTTTTAAATGAACTTAGAATGCAACGTTGCTTTCATATTCCCTAGTGCACAATCATTCGAGAAATTAATAGCTCGTTAAATTTTTTTAATGATCAATAAATATGACGAATTAATCTTTTCATTATTGTTAGGGATCAAAACACGGTGTAAAAAAATATTTTTCCAAAATATGCTAACGATACAAGAAATCAAAATTTATGGTTAAATGACACTTAAAATATACTTGTTTTACAAAATCTTTTTTCCAAGGAATCTGTAAGATTAGATCCTGTTTTAAACGGTTGAGAGACTAAAAAGAAAAGAATTTTCAGATATTTTCATATTTCTTTTTCTAAATCCGCGTGTCCGTCGTCCTGATGTAACGTCGGAAGTAAAATTGACGTAAGACGTATGGTGGTGGGTCGTACACGCGTTTGCTTACAGGACCATGCGTGGCCGGTGTGGTGGGTCTTAAGATGCCTAGATACTGCCTGTTCGGTGACACTGTCAACACAGCCTCCAGAATGGAGAGTAACGGAGAAGGTAATTAACAGCTCAGTCATTCTCTCGAAAGGGACACCGGGGATTGTAATAGGGAAAATGTGAAGGTACAAAGTTATAGATGTATACGGTAATTAAAGGGGAAAAGTAAAGGTGCGGCGACGCAAAAGAGCAAGGTCGTCGCTTAAGAGAAAATCGACCCTGGTTCAAGTGTTTCCATAGAGATCCGACCTCGTGGTTACCTCATTTTCAGCCGTAAGCGCAACCATAAGTATTGATTAGCCATAACCACATGCTAATCTTTCCGGCAGTGATTCCTGTATAATCGTTAAAGATACACATATCGATGTTTTAGTATATTCGACAATTATAATTCTGAATTTTTTGATTAATGTTAGACATCATTAATATCTCAAACTGTTAATGGCTCTTTATTAAGAGAGATCGATCCATTTTGAACATCTGCTTAACGATGACTATTTAGTAATTCGGAGTAATTTTTCAATCGGATTGACAACAATGATTTCGATCGCCGCTTGACGGGGAACACCACGCGACAATGAAATTGATTGCACGCTGAATCCTGTTTATCGACACGCTCACGAGACATACACGAGTATATATGGTGTATCGCTTAATGCCGCGTGGGCGGCGATTCTCCCTCGCAAGGACCTCTAGGTGCCGGCATCGAGGCAAGGACGCACCGCAAGGCGCCATGCGGCTGTTTATCGAGTTTCTTCATATAGCACGTTTTGTGTGCGTTGCGAGAATTATATCACGCATGTTACAGAGAGTTTCCGGCCGATAGATTGCATAACAACGGGTTTCACGATTTTTTCTTTTTTTGTTTTCAATTTTTTTTTTATTTTTTTTATTTTTTTAAATGCTGATCGTCGGATACGCGTTCAAGCACGAAGTGAACGTGACAATTTTTCAGGCATCGTGTATTATTGTGTTTACAGAAACGAACAGTTTATTCGATTACAACTACAGTTGTCGCGGAAACGTGGATTTTATCATAAATCGATCGATTTTTTTTACATAATTGAAAGAGATTGATTAACTTCGGAATTATAAAAGATTGAAAAAGGGCTTTCTGAGAATAAACAGCATTTAAATAATATATCTTTATTTTATTATACATTTTATTTTCTTTAGAAAGGAAATAAAGAGATTTTCACAAAAATTAAAGTTTGGAAAAGCTATTATAAATAATGCTTTACTTTCTGTTGATTTACTTTAATGTTAATCTTAATTTGAGTTTAAATAAATCTTTTTTTTTTTTTTAATTTTAATGCAGTGACTTAGTACCATATGTATTTAACTATTCTGGAAATTTTACTTATGCATAAGTCCAATTAAAATTAAAATTTGAAAGCAAGTATATAGGTAAAATGTGTGTATATTCTATACACATAATAATATAGAAAGATTTGAGATATAAAACTCTGTAAATGTCACATCTCTAAAAAATTATTTTTGTAAAACCCCTGTATGTTAAATACAGCATAGCTTTAAAATCATCCACTTACGAAAACATTTATGAAAGCATAAATAACGTTTCTTTATATAATTTTTTCCAACTAAATAAAATATTATTCTCCGATTTTTCAGAGATTTTAAACAGCATTTCACATATCAACAAGTCTTCGTCTAATAAGTATTATTGATATGTTAAATTGTTTATTGATTAATTATATAGCAACATGTCTATTGTTCAAGCGTAATATATCGCTGTTGAATACAGGTACTTAATCAATTATCATTCATTAATGCACTTAATCAATTATCGTTTCATTTATGCAACACGGAATATTTATTATGCAAAATAATTGACGTATTACATCGCATAATAGTAATCCGCTGTAATCAAGTTATATGTAACTGATTTAAAATGAAGGATTTAGAGCGCGCTATTGTTCATCGTGCAGCCATTCTATAATTTGTGTTTCCGTAGAAAACGCAATCAGGTTGCTCTAGAAATAGGGGAGATCATACGAAAATTACGTATATCGGATTAGCATATTTGTGATCGTCCGCGCTTTGGCCGTCGGCTGTACCGTAATCGAACTTGCGCATCGAGTCACTGACGACGGAAGTTTCGATCAGCGCGCACATAACTTTATTATCGCTTTAAATTAAAAGTTCTCGCTGGGCGACCAGCTCGAGAGAAAACGCCGATTTATTTATCTAGTTAGGTTGTTTGCGATCAGTTCGATTTGTTTCTTACATTCTTTATACCTACTATACCAATAACATCTTATGATTAGCAAACTTAAGATCCGAAGAAGATTGTCCTGATTTCTCTCGTATATTATTGTTGTTAAAATATTAAAAAATTACATGAAGAATCGGATAAATTATTCAATTTAAACTTCTGAAAAAATAAAGTTTCTCTTTTTAATTCAACAATTTATTTTTCTTTTAACTTTCAAATTAAATTACTCGTTAGCGCGTTTGCTACATAAAACTCATATAAAACTTCATTGAAATTAAAAAAAGACAAATCTCTTTATAAATTCGATGAAACTCATCTAGCAAGTTTTTTTTTTTTAATTTTGATGAATGACTTGAATATGTTCCTTGCTTTCTTTGCTGGAAAGGAGATTGCCAATATCGAGCTATTTGATTCTCATACCGTAATTTTTGATCAACTTTAATCGTATAAAAAAGCTCGCGAGCGAAATTGCTGATGACAACAAAAAGTTAATTGGTAGTTCAGATATATGAAGTTTACGCGTCAAAGAATTAAAATTTTTTTCTTCTTGTCTTTACTCATTGGCTGTTCGTCGACGCGTCAAAATAAATCTAGTCGTGCTAGTCTTATAAAGGTCACGTCGGATCGCGAAATTAATGAAGGAGCCGTAATATGACAGCTCAGCTTTATCATTCGGAACACAAATAGACATTTCGCGCTTCTCTTGTTTGAATAATTATTAAAAGTTGGAATTTTTTTCGAGTAATAAATAATTTTTTGTTCTTTCTGCGCTCTCGTCGAAGGGAAAAACGAGCTTCTATTTTTTGGCGTAAATTACTCGAAATTTACGCATAGAATTTTTTGCAATATTGCAGTATGCTTTTTGCTATTTGAAATTTTGATGAACGTTATTCCTCGCGGAGTGGCTTTCGGCGGAATATTTGTAAATGCGTGCTTCCTCTGACGGTTTAATTTACAGATAAAAATTAAGAGCAAGTCAAAAGTTAAGCATTATTATAATAATCGTTTTTTAGAACCTTTGTTCTCAAAAAGGACCTTTCTCTTGGATCTTTTATAACTCGATAATCACATTAAACATTCGATATATCGATTACAAATAGAATAGATTTTAAAAATAAAGATAGGCATTAAAATAAAAATAAACCTTTCTGAAACATTCTGTAGTTGTAATCCAATAACATAGAAAATGATGTAACCACGGAACAATTGCGTGAGCATCAAATGTACATGGAACTCGCGCTATTGTACGCTGTGTTGAAACTACGTGGATACATCCAGTCGCCTACAAAGTGCACTATCACCGGAAGCGGACGGTTCAAAGCTTATTCGCGTTACGTGCAGTTATTTTGAAAAGCTGCCTTGAAAGCGAATTTCAAGCTGACGAAATTTATTATTTTTTTTTTTATTCTCATGCCCGCCGGTCGTCAAATATCACGTTTCAGTATTTGAAGTATTGATATCCACGGTGGGAAAGGGCATAGTGCGGCCTTTCATCGAAATTGGATGGATCTAAATATTATTAAGTTTTAATAATATTAAGTCAGTGTTTTTAGAGAGATTAAAGTACCCCTAAAAATATAATATTTTTTAATCACAAATAAGATATATTATTTAAAGTAAAAGCTTTTAAAAGGTATTATTCATTGTCAGTATCTTGCAAAGCAATTGTTATCTAACGTTCTTTGATTGGTTTTATTTTCCTCAATAACCACTCTTCTAATATCAAAGAGGAACGTCCCAATTAGCGTTGTAAGAGGATTATAAGGATTATAAGGGACGTGCGTAAAAAAAAATCTTTTCCTTTCTCTGCGACAGCTTTGAAGATTCACGTCAGCCCGAAGACAAAGGAAATTTTGGACACTTTTGGCACATTCGAACTCGTCTGCAGAGGAGAAGTCATATTAAAGGTACGTTCTCGTTCCATATTGTGGATATTTCTCAATTTTCTCGAGAGATCAACGTACATCGATATCTATCTACTTGCTCGGCTTCTTATCTCGCAAGCCCAACCTCTCGTTTACTTCCTTGGGGACGAACGAGAAGAGGAGGCCGCGCAAGTCGCAGTCGAGATAAAACGCGTCGAGCGGGATTGCTGAGTGGTCTCTCGTGCCGCAAACGTCAGAATGACAGTGAGGGTAGAGGGTGGCTTTCGCGATTGGCGTTTCGCGGCAGAAAGATGGATCCGGGTTATTATTACGCGAGCGCCACGGTTACGATGTCTTATCTCGCGGATCAGGATATAAAATATTTTGCGCGAATTTTTTACTTTTACAGCCAAGTTATAATCGAGTCTCTCAATGGAATAGGTATACGCGCGATGTTTTTTATATTCCATTAATTTAATGACGGATACTTGTATCTTACAAGTTTTGCAATGACTCCAAGTGCTTCGTTATACTATAACTGTTTATGATATTTCTCTAATTAATTTCATGTTTTATAATTATATTTATTATAAATTATATTTTTTTCTATTTTCTGTTATATATTTTATGTTCGTTAAATATATTTATGCATCGTTAAACGTTACAAATTCTTAACGAAGCAGCGTCGAAGGACGAAATCTTTTTTTCTAATTTAATATCTTTTATTTTTCTGATTATTGTTATGTTGATAGTTTCAAAGTTTTATTTCAATTTCGAATGTGTAATGTAAGCAAATGCTCTTTCGACGAGGGACTTGACTTTCTCAACTTTGGCAATCGCAACCCCCAGAGTCAGGAATTGTAAATCGCGCAATTGCAAACTATGTCCGACGCGGTTGCTCGTTTCAGATATATGGAACGTATTCACAGATGTTGTATCGTAACCGAGCGCGTTATATCCTCGCTCAATGTACACATGTCGTATCGGAAACACCGCCTGTTGTCCGCAGGTACATTCTGTCTCCGTTTTCCCGGAAGAGAATAATTCGTATAGACGCGCGTAAACCGACGGCAGTTATTTCGGCATCACTGAAATTGCTTCGCCGTCCATGCCATCGTCGCGACAAAATGGATATAATACGATAAACACGTAATGGACTTTAGAAATACGACTACTACGTTGAATCGCGGGATCTCGTTAATCTTTACGTAGACGGCGTTAACTGCCGCTATTACGCGAGCCGAGAATTATGCGATCGGTTTGTGATTACTCGGTCGTGCGACCGTGAAACCTCGTCGTGTCGCTTGTCATTAGACGATCGATTAAATATATCTGCTTGAGTGCGGACACTGATGATGACAGACGGAGACACGATTGAATCGTTCACCGTGCAATTCGGGTCAAAGTTCAGCGCTCACGGTGAGAGAGAGAGAAAGAGAAAGAGAGAGAGAGAGAGAGAGAGAGTATGGCTGCAGTGCAAGTATGATAATTAATTAGTAAGAGAACGCCGGCAGAAACTTAGCTCGGCAATTCGCGTGTACGTACATTGAGTTTGCCTGCCGAGATTAAAATTCAAGTGCCACGTACCATCGGGTAATATACGTTGCCGCTCGTTTGAATATTCACGAGCGTAACTGAGTTAAACGCATTCGCTGATCGCCGTCGTGTAACGAAGCGACACAATATTTCTGTTACATTGAACTCTATCACAGGATGATCTTAATTAAATCTTTGGAACTACGCATATATATTTTACGCGCTATAGTTTTTAACCTTCAACTTTTATGACTCTAGTACAACGTGATTTTGTCGAATCTAATTGTTTTATATTTTGCGTCAATAGATTTGTAGAATTACATGAACGAGTTTTTTTACTTGATTTATCTTTATAATGTATAAGAGAAAAAATATCGGAATAATACAAACGTTATATAGATAAATTATGCAAAATATTCTATTTGATTTTTCGATCGCAAAAGATTTGATCGCTTCAACTCTCGAAATAATCCCTCGTTTTTGCCAAAATCCGCAGGGTAAAGGCCCCATGATTACTTACTGGCTAATGGGCGAGAAACCGACGAATAACAACGTGCAACAGGCGAATCCCACGACATTTAGCCAGATATCGACTCTGCAGGATCAACCTCCTGCCGTCACCGCGCAAATTCAGATGACGCAGCCGAAGCAAGTGGAGCAACGCGCGCTTCCACCCATTGGCCAACACAAATTTCAAGGTCAATCGGACCAGCAGTACCCGGCTCAGCAACAACAATCGATTCAGTCGAGGAGTCAGGAGTCGCGACAGCAGGGGCATCCGGGTCAGCAGAGGCCGCAAGAATCGCAGCACTCGGGTTTAACGGGCCAACCGCGGGGTCAAGGCCCGGCCCAGGTTAATCCATCGTCCGTTCCTCCGAATCAGCTTCAGCAGAAAACCACAATGGCCATGAATCCCGCTTGCGGTCTCGCTATGACTGGAAACGGCGCGCCGAAATCGACGATCGCGTCGCGGACTGTCGTCGGCAACTCCTCACCGTCTCGCAACCGATCGAGTGTTTCGTCGAACGCGAATAACTCCGTGCACCAGGTCTACCCAACGGCCGAGAGTATGCCAAATCACACCGAGAGTGGTCCCAACGCGCCTCTCCTTCTACCCGCGGGTGCGATTCCCAGGGTCTAGCTCTCTTAAATTGTCTTTTGTCGGTGACATTCGCTTTATCAGTTATCGAATCTTGGAAAGATACCGCGAGCTTGAGATCGATACTTGGACACGTTAATGAGAATTTTGTTTGATCGATACTCGTGAGAAAAAATTAGACGAAAGCAACGGACTTGTTAGAGGATGAAAACGAAGGACTTTTAAGGTTGTCAAGACTCAGCTTCTGCGTTTCAAGAATTAAATCTCTTCGAGGCAACAGTTATCTATCGTTTAATTAGATTTATCATGCGTTTCTCTTGCGTTAATTAATTTTCTGGCTTCCTGAAAAGTATTTGTTAAATCAAAATTCTAGTTAATCAATTGGTAGAACATTTACTTTTGATATATTATTCACGTTATTAATAATAAATGTTAATAATAGCTGACGAGGCTCTACAGAGTCAAGGACCAACTCCAGATTCGCAGAAAGTGATCTCTTCCTACAAGGTATTACGGAACCAAATTTTACAAAGATAACAATTAGCGCAATTTAGAACAAATATGACTGTCGCGACGATGATCGCACGTAAGGATGGAACAGCAAAAACTCGGATTTGAGCAGAGAAAAACTTGAAGAAGGAGCAATGAATTATAGAGGGATACACGATCGATCATATGCTTTCGCTGAAGGTACTTATGGTCTTTTGCATATGAACACAGTATTATTACCGGTCACGTATGCGTTTTATTTATTCAAACTGAAACAAACATTTGACGAAATGCGATTCATATGCAACGGCACGTAAAATGCAATATGGGCTTAATTTAGCAGCAAATTTCTCGTATTAGCTGCGATCGATCCCTGCCGAATTAAACAAAATCACGAACATACGCGACTTTAAATTCTCTTTTTTTTTTTTTAAGATTTCAAGAACTTTTATCAATTTTGATTAATCGTGATTAATCTAAATATTTTTGTCGATATTATTATTATAATTATTTAGAACAAGACAGAGAAATAATTGGACCCGAAGTTGTAATTTATCGATGTTGGTGAAGTTGACTTGAGATTGATCGTATAAAGGAACGGTGAATTTTCTCGACCTTATCTATATGTATACTTATTATGGAAGTATTTGTGTGTAAGCTTCTTGTAATATATTTTTTCTATTTTTTTTCTATCGAAATGATTTTGCTCTTTTTCGACATTTGTCTACGATCGCGGATCACAAACAAATATCACGAGGCATGTAGATCAGCCACAGTGTGTTTGTCGTTGCATGCTCATTATAACAAATATTATCGTTCGTAATACGCGCGTGCTTACAGAGCGTAACACGATACAGAGAATTTCGAACCTATTACATACACACATACAAACACACACACACGCAAAGTGTTATATATAAATATATAAGAGAGAAAAAGAGATATATATGTATACACATACAAATACATGTATATGTTATGAGATTAGATTATATATATATATATAGATGTATATGACTGCAAGAAAACAAAAAGTTACCAGTAGCTAACATCAATGTTTAGAGCCGCTCGTAGCGAACAGAGGCTGGGCCTCTCGCGAAACGAATCTATGATGTGTCTGAAAAATAATAGCGGGAATGCGAGTGCATATATCTGCGCGAAACAAATACAAATACAAACATACGTACACATATAAGAGAGCAGATATATGCACATGCGGTCGCAGTTGCATACATGTGTTTAATGTATGGACGAACGATGCAGGTAGTTGATGATTTTTCGCGGTTGCCCTGTTGTAAACACGGTATATGGCGATACGAGGTGAGAGAAAGGGAGAGCATTTACACTCGCATTTGCGAGTACGATGCATCGTGAAGAGTGAAATTCTATCTGTGTCAATCTCTCTTTTAACGATGTACCAATGAATATTCCGAAAATAAAGTTTAATTGTTTTCAAAAAAAACTGTCCGATTAGCTCGGCTTGTTCCCTCCGTGTAATTTATTAACGTCATACACGTTTTTGCGTTACGCTGCATTGTAATTGAATGAAAACAATCATTTTAATAGACAGTTTTTATTGGACACGTCATACATAAAAGCGCGATAAAAAAATCTTTAGATATAAAAAGGTAGAAAAATCTTTGGTACACACGAGAGAGCAGCGGGGAACGGGGGGAGATCGGGAATATCGTATGACGTTCAAAATACCGCGTTCGCGAATATCCAATCGAGGTAAGAGCTCACGCGGGTGTATATCCCCGGGAATCCAGGTTCACCGCAACGGATTCCCCAGGATACTATTCCGATGTTGACCCACCTGCCGTTGCCGAGTTGATGTAGCAACGGACCACCCGAGTCACCCTGAAAGAAGAGACTTATTGGGCTCTGGGGTAATGTATTATGTATAGATCTATTTTTTAAAACGTTATGTATAAGCTATCTTAAAATATTAACGGATCTCCTTTCCCCTCGGAGATGGGGGCATCCATTAAGGATAAAGACTTTCACAGATTAATGCACGTTTTAACATTTCATCGCCGCGCTTTTCCACGTTCGCCGCTTTGCTTATAGTGAATAAATCATCGTCTCACTTGACAGGCGTCGCGACCACCCTCATAAGCGCCGGCGCACAAGGTAGTATTCGGGATCCGTTGCGTGAAGCTGCGAACGCATCTTTCTTGAGGCCATACCGGCACTGCGACCTCCATCAACACTGTACTAGCAGGTCCTCCGTAATATTGCGTGCCCCACCCTAGTAGATTGTTTTTAATAAAAGTTACAAGAATAATCTATTCATTTTACGTTCTCTTACGTATCGCGTTATTTATTCAAGATGAGTCGTGACAAACATAGAAAAAGGAAGTGATTTCTCCTCGTGCAGAAATAAATCGAAAATGCAGAGAAAATTTTTTTTCAAGATTTTATTTTTAATAAAATTGGCTTTAGAAAATAATTGGAAATTTTTGTTCTATATTTTCGACTTATCTTTGTACGAGAAATTATCTCTTCCTCGATTATACTACATTTTCCGACTTTATAATAGCAGAGATAAGACAAAAGGAGTTGTTTTGTGGTAAGTTCGCAGCTACAATTATACAAGAAATATGCACAGAGCGATGGGATGAATAATGCAGTAAATAAATTTCATTTAATGCAATATCTAAGAAATAACATCTCTGCTGTAGCATAAAATAAAATAAAAAAGAATCTGTTTTCTGCAAATTTACAAAAGTATACAATTTAAATAGAAAAATCAATAATTCAGCGCACATAGCTTTTTTTTATTTAAGACATAATATATATTTCCGACCTGTGACGATGGCGTTCTTATTCTCGAAGGATTGTTGAACGGGCGGGAGGCAAATGGGCCAGATGTAGCTATTAAACGCAGTGGGTCGATTGATCTTAATAATGGCGATGTCGTTCTCGTAAGTGTTTAACTTGAAATCCCTGTGTATCCGTATCTCCGAAACTATAAAATCCAATGCACGTGTCTCCTCGGATTTGGTGAAATCGTACTCACCGAGTCTCACCGTGATGTCACGCGGTTTGTACCTAAAACAACGGCACACGCGAGATAACTGTAATTCGCGTAACTGTTCATTTCATGGTTACGAGAAACGGATGCCGCGCGTATATTACACGTTACACAGTCTTGGAACAAAAGGTATAACTGTGCCGGCATGCTGAGAATATTATAAAGTCTAAGCGCGATCACCGCCAGACGTCGGAGCCGCAAGAATATGAATATCTTATGCCTGTGAAATATCGTCCGAATCATAATCGCGTTTAAACTTTGGGATGCGAGAACGTAAATGTTTCGTAACAAAAGTTTCATTTTTTATTTCCATTTTTACTATAATTTTTTTAATTTGGAACCATAATTTATGAGTTATATATATACAGAGAAAAATATTGAAATAGCAAAAGATTTAATATTTTATGATAACAAAATAATACAAAATGTGTGCGCTCAAATACTGATGTATATTAAATATTGAAAAAAGGTTTTAAACACACATTTCACACTTTTAAATTGAAGTAATATTAAACTTTAATTCGCGACATTTCTATAGACCCATTCAGTTTTGTGTTGCAAGGGATTACACAATATAGTTTACCTGTAAACACAATGCGCCGCGGTAAGAACATGCCTATCAGTAATCAGTACACCTCCACAAAATTGAATCGCGCCTTGTCGAAGAAGAGCCGCCATCCACGGCCATTCTTTAGGATCAGCTGGTTGGCCACCCGCGATTCTAATCTTAGTTTTCGTAGTCGTGCCGCATCCTCTCGGTCTTCGCGCTTTTCTCGTCGGTTCTTTAATATCGTCCAAAGTCGCGTTTTTCCGCGAAATTGCGTCCTTGTCGTCGGCAGATGGCCCATTCTCGTCCTCGTTTTCGTCCCACTCTTCCTTGTCGTCGTCGAGATCTACGAGAAAAGTGAAAAATTTCGAATATATATATTACACTCACGTACGCAAACACGCGGATGTCGTGAGCGTTGACAGGTATGTGTGATAGGCAATGTTTATCGAGAGGGGGCACGTGTGTTGCGCTTCCATTGAAACACATTAGATAATCGATAAAGGCACTTCTCGCGAGTAAATCTTGCGTAAAAATATACCGCGTGATCGTGTTATTCAATTTAAAGAAAATTATTTTTTGCTATTACTGTCATATATCTACGTGAGAAGAGAATCTTTATTTCCGACGAAATTACAATGAATAAATTGTGATATTAATTTCAATAATTGATTTATGTAATTGTGGAATTATACGCACTTGCTATCGCTGGTAACACGCTGGCTAAATCATCGTCGAAGGTTTTATCTGATCGGGCTGTCACGACTCTATCCGGACAACACACACCGATGTACCTGCGTCGAGGAAAACATTAATACGAGAACGATCGGTGCATGAAGTACAATGTTAGCTTACGTCTGTTCAATTATGCACATATGATCCATAAATCGGGCATAGTTCAAGCGGAACTCTTCAAGGACGCATCCGCTGAAATGTTTGCAGTGACCGCTCTGATTGCTCGGTGTGATGCAAGCTTGATAGGTTTTCTAGGAAAAAATTAATTACTATTATTTATTAAATACCCATTTTCTCCCTTTCTTTCCGAGTTTATAAATAATATTGCAATAACGCACCTGTTTACTTAAAGTTCCGGGACCCAGATTGATAAATCGTTTGCCGCGAAAGTACGGATGGGAAATGCTTTCCGGAAATCGGAACAGGTTCTGATGCAGAGTATGTGCCTGCCATTCCCGGTTCCCCACTATCGTCGGATCTGAGAAATACGGGATGCATCATATGCATCGACGAACACGTTTGCGTTGCTGCGTATATACGTGTGAATACATGTTTGATACATAACGAAATTTAATGAGGACCATCGAGGATAGAGCGTCCGGAAGATATATTATCAGTAATAACACGATTCGGCTATTTCCGTTGAAAGAATACGCCTTCTAAGATTTTCGAAACGTAAAACGGATCTCGAATTGTCATTCAACCGCGACTCACAATAACAATGATTATCTATTATGCTTATTTGCAGTAATGTATTGGCATTTAATGCATCTCTGAAAAATGTTGCGGTCACGAACAGTGCGCATATTAATCACTAATTGTATAGATATCTCGATATAAATGCACACATATTAATGTGTTTTATAGTTTGTAAAAAAATATCACAAATATATATTTACCGCGTTTGCGCAAGTTGATCTTATAAACTTTATATATATTTCTCTTTTTATTTTAATAAAAATCTAAATCTTATGTTACATCAACGTAAAAAAAAAATTTTTACTAATACGTTACTATTTACATATTTATATTATACAAGAAATATTGCTTAATTTAAAGTTTAAGCTTGAAGATAAAATTTATTCACATTTTTTAATTTACAATAAAGAGGAAAACTAAAATATTGCATTTAACATACAATAATGCTTACCTGCAGCGTTTTCGAAATCGGAGGAAAGGCATCGGTAATATTGAAGGATGCACAATAAAGAGAGTAGCACAAATTGATAAACATCAGTAAACGTCCGCATTTAAATTAGCGTCGATTTTAGATCTTCTTGAATGACAATAGCGAGAACGCGACGACGGCTTTTTAGACAGCCTCGACCAGAGAACGGACAATGACTTCGAATACGGAAAGCCGTCACTTATATACATACACGCCTGTAATATATGGAACCCAGCAAACGCTTCTTCAAACTGAATGTCTTTCATTAGGCGTTTGAAGAATTATTCTTACGGATTGCAAGAACGAAGAGAAATGATAATATCAGTATTATTATATCTTCACTGCTATTATATAAGACGTAATAAATTAATTATTTAATTTGCACTTTCTCTAACATATTATAGAAAAATTATTTTTTGTTAAAGAAATTTATTGGGATGAAAGAGAAAGAGAGAGGAGAGAGAAAAAAATAATTTTAAAAATTTGCAAATTCCAATAAAGTATCTCTTATGATTGAAATAGTGGACGTTTAATTAAAATTTGTTTGTGATTATCGAGCGATATTTCCCACTCGTTTTAACATTCGCCGTGTCAAATTACTAATTGTAAAAGTGCTTTGTGTGTATGGTGCGTTGTGCCGCTTTATCGATTCGACACAGTTTTCGGCCGATCATTCAATAAACCCATTACGTTAATACGGCCTAATTGCCACAGAGAGTAAGGTCACGGATCAGAAGTTATTTCAAGAAAGAGTGGAAGTAGAGGTCGGAGGAGAAATTACGCACGACCTATCCGAACAAAGATCAATTCAATCTGATTAATATAAATATATAATGCATTAATAATATAAATAATATAAAGTTCATGCCCCGTTTCTGACGCTATTTTTGCTTCAAAGCACAAGATTTTTTGCTCTGATTAAATATCAAACGCTTATTCAAAGTATGTCATTAATTAATCTAATAATTCAAGTATCTCTAATAATTCAAGATGGAGTATATGACGTCATTAATCGGTCGTAGAACGATCAAACCTGCTTCACTCGAAAATGCTATACGTTACCGCCGGCATAGCTCTTAGGTTCATTAGAGTACTCAAACCTCCTCACCCGGCAAATGCCTTCGTTAAGGTGGAGATACCATCGAGGAGGAAAAATGTGTAAGGACAGTTTTCCTTTCCTTTTTCATTTCACAGGGTCAGGGTTTATTTTGTTTTTATTTTTATTCTAATATAAACAAAATGACACAATAAATTTAATATACAAAATATAATACAAAATATAATCTAAAATTTAATAAAAAATAATTTATTATGTGGCATTACACGAAAATATCCAAAATATGCGTATAATAAAAAATTTATTAGAAATTTTTAGACTAGACAAGACTTTTTAGCGACGATTAATTACGCGACATTTATTATTAATAATCGACATACAAGTATAAAGCTTAATAAATTTTATATAATGTAAAGAATCGCGACCAAAAGAGTCATTAATAAAATTATTAATCGTCTTTAATTGTAGAAAAAAGTATTTGTGCATTATTGATGCATTTTGCGCAGACTTTTAAAGAAAAAAATCCAAGACGAAAAAAAATAGACAAACCTTCGATGTACATCAACGATTAAATTATAACACAAATCGCGATTTAAAATTCGCGAGTAAACGCGACAAATAAATAAACCGACGATATTTGTAATATTTGATTGCGATACGCGTAATTTCTATAATAATCGAAATTCACACGTACGCGCGCGCGATATAATCATTATCATTTTATGCAAAGATATTTCGACAGACATTCGAGATTTGTTATATAGCATCCATCGCGCGATTTATTTTCTGATACGCGATTTTATACGATCGTTACGATCAACAATAAGATATATATTCTATCTCGCGGATGACTGTTTTAACATAATAAACTGGGTCTTATAAGCCTTTAAATATCGTTATAAAAAATCGCGTTATTGCCACGTTTTATAGAGAATAACAGACCCAACGATTTTAACAAAGCCCTCCCTCCGCCGGATGATACGCTGGTTAATATTCGACAAAAAGAAGAACGATCCTAAAGGTGGAGAACGACCAACGTCTTGTTTCTACATCAGTTTCTGCAAGATCGATCCGCAAAGAAAAGTTAAGTGATCCGTTGAACATTAGAGCCGCTTCAGGACGAAACGAATCCCAGATCTTCCGGACTGCTCCCGATAGCAATGATTTTGGTAATGAACCAACGACAGTTACCATTTATCTTCATTTCACGAGATTGAAAATTGCATTTGCGCATGTATTTTATTATATATTTATAATAATACATGTATCTAAAAGCATTAATCCAGGGTTGATGTTCTAGAGTGGCGGGATGTCCAATATCTGCAAATAGTTTCTTAAAAGAAACCAAAAACTAATGTTAATATCCCAAGTGCCTAGAAATAGTTTCTCAACAAAAACCAACAATTATATTATTTAATAATTAATTATTAAAATATATTCGTTCGTAACCATAATTTTTTATCAAAAAAGTCAAAAAATATGGACAAACTGATAGCAATTAGAAACTACTAAAAAAATATGAATCTATACACAATAGCTATATCCATGTTTAATCTACTATTAAGTCTTTCTTTTTCGTAAAAACAATAATAATATTAATACTAATAATGATAGACTCTAACATATTATAGAAAAATTATTTTTTGTTAAAGAAATTTATTGGGATGAAAGAGAAAGAGAGAGGAGAGAGAAAAAAATAATTTTAAAAATTTGCAAATTCCAATAAAGTATCTCTTATGATTGAAATAGTGGACGTTTAATTAAAATTTGTTTGTGATTATCGAGCGATATTTCCCACTCGTTTTAACATTCGCCGTGTCAAATTACTAATTGTAAAAGTGCTTTGTGTGTATGGTGCGTTGTGCCGCTTTATCGATTCGACACAGTTTTCGGCCGATCATTCAATAAACCCATTACGTTAATACGGCCTAATTGCCACAGAGAGTAAGGTCACGGATCAGAAGTTATTTCAAGAAAGAGTGGAAGTAGAGGTCGGAGGAGAAATTACGCACGACCTATCCGAACAAAGATCAATTCATGCGAATATCCCGGCGCATATACTTGTCGAAGCGACGAAATGGACGGCCGGTAACTCGAGAAATATTCGATTCCGTTTGACGTTTCATTAAACGCTCAATAACGCAAACCCCGCGTTGCAGCAGGATCTCGAGAGCCAGAGAAGGAAAGCGGGATCCAAAGAATACGATACAAAATTTAAAATATTTCAATTCAAATATTTTGCAAGATAAAATAAATCGACATAATCTCAAGTAATTAATTTTAAGCTTTTTTTTTGTAGCGTTTAAATAATTTATCGATCTTTTTCTGATATCGAGGTACCCATTCGATTTGTCTCGAAGTTTTTAAATATCCGCACATTTTATGTTATATTTATATATGTAATTTCACACACACACATATTATATATATCATTCAAATATATAATATAATATTCAAAAAAGTATAAAAATTTTTTGAAATAATATGTTGATTTGCGCATGTATTTTATTATATATATAGAATAGTACACATATCTAAAAGCACTAATCCAGGACTGATGTCCTAAAGTTGCGGGATGTCCAATATCTGCAAATAGTTTCTTAAAAGAAACCAAAAACTAATGTTAATATTCCAAGTGCCTAGAAATAGTTTCTCAAAAGAAATCAAACATTATATTAATTGACACTTAATTTTTAAAATATGTTTGTTCGTAAGCATAATTTTTTTATCGAAAAAATCAACAGGAACGGACAAACTGATTGCAATTTGAAATTGCTTAAAAAAATTGGGATGAAAGAGAAAGAGAGAGGAGAGAGAAAAAAATAATTTTAAAAATTTGCAAACTCCAATAAAGTATCTCTTATGATTGAAATAGTGGACGTTTAATTAAAATTTGTTTGTGATTATCGAGCGATATTTCCCACTCGTTTTAACATTCGCCGTGTCAAATTACTAATTGTAAAAGTGCTTTGTGTGTATGGTGCGTTGTGCCGCTTTATCGATTCGACACAGTTTTCGGCCGATCATTCAATAAACCCATTACGTTAATACGGCCTAATTGCCACAGAGAGTAAGGTCACGGATCAGAAGTTATTTCAAGAAAGAGTGGAAGTAGAGGTCGGAGGAGAAATTACGCACGACCTATCCGAACAAAGATCAATTCATGCGAATATCCCGGCGCATATACTTGTCGAAGCGACGAAATGGACGGCCGGTAACTCGAGAAATATTCGATTCCGTTTGACGTTTCATTAAACGCTCAATAACGCAAACCCCGCGTTGCAGCAGGATCTCGAGAGCCAGAGAAGGAAAGCGGGATCCAAAGAATACGATAAAAGGAGAGCGATGAATGAGCCGTGAATAAATGTACGATACGAGAGGAGAAAAATGAAGAACCGAGGCACTTTCTTTTTTTCCATGTCGAGTAGCCGAGAGATGAAATTCAGTTATCTTCCGTCTTCGTTTCTATATGGGATACTCGAGAAAACGAACATCACCCACATACCTGTCTAGGCCATTGGCTTCGTCGAGTCGCGCGCACGCACGCATAATATGTTCATCTACGTGAGATGCACGCATGTGAGAAGCAGGCGGCCGATTGGGCAACGCGAGATACAATGTCCGCTGAATAAGCAACGAATTTCATAATAAATAATTTTTATTCTTAATTTTGATTATTATTTCGTTTTTATATTGTAAGCAGGATCCTTTCGTTACTTGGATAGATAAAATTTAAATAACTATGTCTAATATGTGTCCATTCTTAAAAAAGACTTAAATCGATACTCGCAAGTATTGTTGCCTCTTTTCCGCAATGCTGATTGGTTATTTCGACATTATCTCGATATTACTTCATATCAATAAAAGTCTATTATAGCTAAGCCACGTATTTGATAGTTCAAATATTAACTATGAGTGTATAATTTTGATTTAATTGATTTAAAAAAAAACGCATAACTAGAGTTAATATGTAAGTAATTTTATAAATGTGTGTGTGAAAAAAAATTAATTAACACTGTTCATGATTAAAACTCCTGGATTCGAAAGAACACTGTTAAAACTATAGAAAAATATAATAAATACATATAATAGAATAGATCTCCGCGTTTCGGAAGTC